CATTGTTTAAATCATAGCTTAACATTTATGATTCTAGATGAAAGTTTATTTTATTTTGATAGTTTTAATGACTTTCATAACTGAAAAGAGTACCTTTCAAAAACATGTAAATCCAAATGGGATAGGTGCTTCTTTGGCTGAATTTACTATTTTAATAAATGAGTCAAAATCTACTGAAATTCTTGATTTGGAATACTTGTACAGGTCAGAAAATGATTCCCAAGAACAAATAACAGCATTCTTAGAGGGGATATGCATTGTTTGGGACCACAGAACCAGTACATTCTGTAGCATATAAATTGCAGTCCATCATAATAAGTTGTGGGTTTGCCTCTCTCACTATTTAGGATACTGGTCTTACTAGAGATGACCCATGACATTCGATTCCCAGTGAGGGCACCAGTGTCACTTAGTAGTAATAAAAGTTGACTTCATTGTATTTTTATCTTAAAAAATTAGAAATGTTAATCATTTTTTCTGCATGACAACAGTGGATATATTTTTTGTATACCACCTGAGGCACACACACCCTCCCTTGAAAGCCACAGCCTGAAGGATTTTGTGCCAGTAAGCCCCTTGCCAGCAGAGGCAGAGTTGTGGGCTTCATGAGCATTGGCTCCAATTGGTTAGGCCCAGGCCAGACTGGAACTGGAGCTGAGGCCAGCTCAGGCTGGAGAGGTAGAGGCCTCTATACAGGCTGAAGCTTACCCATGTTGATAAGTGACACCAAGGAGTGCTCTTCAGGAGAGTGTCACTGCTGTGCATTGCCTATTAGCTTACAATAGAATAAAGGCTTTTTCAGCTCTTGTGGCCATGAGCTCTGCCAGAAGGTGAGTTGTTGGTATTCTCTCCTAAATTACAAAATGAAGGGTTTTTTTCCCAGGTTGCTAAGCAAAGTATTCAGCTAATAGGTGAGTCACCTTCCTTTGAAAAAAAAGCAACAGACTCCGGGAGTTACAGGATGAAAGAAGAATTTGTGTTTGAATTACAAGAAAGGATAAGGTGGTCAGATGGGGGAAGGTTTATTTTCACACATAGATATTTTCAGTTCTTCCTTGAGCTCTGTAATTGCTTCCTTGGGGATAGGGTAGATTACGATCCTAGAAAGGATACACAAAAAGTCAAGCACAGATTCACTAAAAACCCTGTGTGTTGAGTTGGAATAGCCAGAGAAATAGGCACTAAAGAGTGTAGTCAGGATAGAGCAGAGACATAGAAGAGTAACAAACCCACCAAAGATAAATCCCAGGGAACTAAAGAAGACCTCTAGTGGGCAGAGGAGCCTAGAATCCTGGGGAAACTTGAAGGAAAATATATTAATTTTGATAAAGCAGATTAGAACCAGCAACTGGACTGAGTGGTACAGTGGAAAGGTGAAAAATAAAGCCTTTTGTATGGTTGTGGTAGCCTCTCACATTAGAGGATGGGGAAGCAGTCCATTCTGGGAGCTCTGATCAGGTTCCCTACTGATGGGGTGGAAGACTGCTGTGTTCTGACAAAAACCTTATAATTCAACTTAAATTTTTTAATTGTGTGGGAAAGGCAGCTCAGCATAGTTGCTAATAGTGTAGGTTCTGGAACCAAAATTTTTATCAGAGTTAAAATCTAGCTTAATTTTTATCAGAGTTAAAATCTAGCTTTACTGTGTACTAGCCCTGTGACCCTGGGCAAGATTTCCTCATGAGGTGATTGTGTGGAGCTAATACATGTAAATCACAACAAATTTAGCACATGATATACACTCAGATGTTACCTCTTAGTTTTTATATTACTTTGATGCAGGAACATACGTGACCTTTTCACAACATTTAAAATATATGTAAAAATACAATGGAACAATTATGAGTCTCACTTTATAAACTCGGATGAGGAATGTTTTATAGGAAAGGATGGTCGCTAAAACTCACTGAGGGTTCAAACTAGGCGTGAGCAAAGTGTCACATGTACATAATTACATGTTCCTCTCAATTACACTGTGAAGCAGAGTGTAATTCCTGTGGGGATACTGCTTCTCTGGGAGGTTAAGTTGCTTTAAGCTTGCAGAGCTAGAAAATTGTAGCGCCAGTTCAAACCCTCCTGGGCCTCATTCTAGAGATTGACCTGTACAATACAAGGGCTGTTTTCACTGCAGCTGGACTTGGGCTGTGGCTGCAGGGATATCACCAAGAAGTGTTAGAGCAGGAAGTGGCTGTTACCATACCTGTGTCACCTTACCTGTACCTCCAGGTCCAACAGGGACGAGGCAAACAACACAGGCCTGATGATTCAGGGTTTATGTTGCTAGGTTTAATGATCTTTTGTATCACCGGAGCTCAAAACTCAAGACTATTCAGGGATAGCCAAAAAAGTTCTGAGAGAACAAGAACCCTAACATATATCACAACATAAAAGCATTCTACTTAGGCCCATGCAGTAGTGAAACAGGAATAAGCAAAAAAATAAGAATGATTAGGAAAGAGAATCCAAAAGTAGATCCATTTGTAAGAATGTATGATCAAGATGGCATTTTGAAACGGGGGAATACCTGCCTAAAAGGTTACAGTATTTTATACTACCACCACCTCCAAGTTAAAATTCTTCATGGGCTAAAAATAAACCCTCAGAGTCAAGAATAAAAAACTATAAAATTATTTTTAGAATTTGGCCTTCCTAAGCAGTATACAATATTCAGAAATGATAAAAGATTGATAGTTTTAACTTCATGAAAATTAAGATGGAGGGGAATGGAAATGAACAGGCTGATGAAGGAGAATTTTGATGTTTTCTAGTCTATGTTGTTTGAATTTTACACAATGAGAACTTATTGAGGGGACACTGTGGCTTACAGATGGAAAATGTTGGTGAGTAATTAACTTTGTAATACATTGATCACCAAGTATTAAGCTCCTCCCCTATGTTCTTAGACGGTGTGGAGGTTGAATAAAAGACAGAGCCACCACCAGAGCCTGCCATCTGTGAGATGGTTTTCCAAGAAGGAAATGTTCTCTCAGGGACAGCTTCCTGAAGGTGGTAGAATATGAGCTTGGCCTTGCAAAATAGAGAGGATTTCAGTATGTAGGAGACAAGAATCTTAGGCTAGGGAGGCTGGGGCTGGCAACCCCAGATGCCCCAGTGCTCTGCACCCACACTGAGCTGGGCCACTTTAAGTGAGTCAGCTCTGCAGAGGTCTCCCACTCTGTCAAGGGAACAGTAGTGGAGAAAGTAGTAAGAGCAGATCTGAGTCAGGTTTGGAGGTTGGAACATCGGGCCTGAGAGAAGGTCAAAGGCTTGAGAGAATGCTAACTCTGCTGGGAGCAGTGAAGTGATTGGTCTGGGGGCCCTCCTTAGGCTTTGAGGTATGGATGAGGTGACAGAACTTACCCAAGAGACTGATTCATTTATGGCTAACATCACAGAATTAAACCAGCAGGTGTGGCTCAGTGGTTGAGCCACATCGACCCATGAACCAAGAGTTCACCAGTTCGATTCCTGGTGAGGGCAAATGTTCAGATTGTGGGCCCAATCCCCGGAGGGGGAGGGGGGTATGCAGGAGGCAACCAACAGATGTTCTCTCTCATTGATGATTCTCTCTCTCTGTCTCTCTCTCTCCCACCCTCCCTCTCCCTCTCCCTTCCTTTCTAAGATCAATAAAGGAAAAACCAACCAAACAAACAACAACAACAAAAAACATAACAGATGCTGAATCAGGCAGGTGGGCAAACCAGGACTCAGAAAGGTGACCACAGCCCTGAGACAGGGCTACCTCATTTCTTACCACACACTGGACAAGAGAGTACTGAACAACCCCCTTGGCTCTAACCCTGAGCTCACCAAGCTACTCTCTTCCCAAAGTCAAGTTCAATACAAGATGATACGGGATGCAAAGCATTCTAATCACTCGTCCCCACTTATATAGCAGCATTCTGTAAATGAACAGAAATAGAAAAGCAATTTGGAGCAACACTTTGTGGAAAAAGATTGCCTGAGTCAGGGAGGTGGCAGTAGAAGTGATAAGAAGTCAGGTGGTGCCCTGGCCGGTTTTGCTCAGTGGTTAGAGTGTCAGCCCACGGACCAGAGAGGCCCAGGTTCGGTTCCCGCTAAGGGCATGTACCTCCGTTGCAGTTTGTCCCAGGCCCTGGTTAGGGTTGTGTGGGTGGCAACCACTCAATGTCTCTCTCACATTGATGTTTCTCTCTCTCTCTCTTCCTCCCGCTCTCCCTCCTGCTCTATCTCAAGATAAATGCAAAAGTGTCCTTGGATGAGGATAAAAAAAAAGGTGGTCATCATGGGAAGTCCTCCGATTTCCTGATGGGCTGGAGATGAAAGAGGAGTCACAAAACAAATGACTATGCTTTTTGCCTGAGCAGTTGGAAGCCAATAGCCCTCAACTGGAGAGTGCGGGAAGGCTGCAAATGGGGCAGAGTTCAGTTAGAGGCATGTTTGTGAAGTAAGGAGAGAGGGAGGTCTGGGCTGGAGATTTAAACGTGTGATGGGTTGGCATATAGACAGTGTGGAAACCCACTTAAGTTGTCCTCAGTGGATAAGCGATGCGTCAAGCTGGGCTTGCCTCTTAGGTAGCCCCCTGCTGACTTTCCTGCTTAGAGGTCTTCCTCTTCCCATGTTCCTCCACATTCCCTACCCCTTAACTGGGGAGGGTCCAGGTCAGAGCGTTCTTCCTAAGGAGTACCCAGGTGTCCCTCCCTCCTGAAAAAAGGAGATTCTTTGCAGGTCCCTCTGCAGTGTTCTTCCCTTCTGACCCTCTTACCCTTCCCCAAGGCCTGGTCTGCCCAGGTTGTAACCCACACACAGGGCTGGTAAAGGAATCTGAGCCACCTGCCCTGCTCACACTAAAACAGCATAGGGACAGGAAATACCTTGTCACTGTCACCTTTAGTGTCACGGGGGGGGGGGGTCCATTGCCGTGGGTTCACCAGCTGAGTTAGACTGAGAGAAGGAAGTGGAGTTGAGTTGCAGGAAGAACTGAGCCCAGCTGCTCCTGGGCCTGCTCACACATGAAAACTTCCTGTGATGAGAGCGGAAACACAGGTGCTATCCCCACCACAACAGCCCCCAGAGCCTGGGCCAGAGAGGAGTCATGGACAGGTCCCAGGCTCTGGTCCTGCTCTTGGCACTGCTGACACTCTGCATCACTGCTGGTGAGTGGGGGGCTAGAGAGAAGCAGAGACTATGGGGATGCAGTGGAGACCCAGCCCCGGGCCTTTCTTATATCTGTATTCCACAGGGACACCTGAGGTATGGGTGCAAGTTCAGATGGAGACCACCAAGTCCCCATTCTTCATTGTTCGCTGTGGATTCCTGGGATCTAGCACTATATCTCTGGTGACTGTAAGCTGCAGGGAGCCCGATGGTGCTGGAGGGACCATGCTGGCTGTGTTGCATCCAGAATTGGGCACCCATCAGTGGCACCCTGCTCGCCAGGCCCACTGGGAAACCAGAACCAGCATCTCGCTCACCCTGGAAGGGTCTGAGAAAAGCCCCAGTCCCAACACCACCTTCTGCTGCGAGTTTACTTCCTTCCCTGAGGGCTCCCAGGAGGCCTGTGGAAACCTCCTCCTTGGCACAAACCAAGGTGGGGCTGATGAGGAACAGGGCCCAGGGAGGGCAGGGAGGAACTCAGAGCATCGGCCACCAATCTGGTATGTCTCTCTTTGTGCACAGGGCTCCCTGCCCCTACTCCAGCTCCTATTCTGCGGGCTGACCTTGCCGGGATATTGGGGATCTCAGGGGTCCTCCTCTTAGGCTGTGTCTATCTTCTCCACCTGCTGCATCGGCAGAGGCACTGGTGAGACCCAGCCCCAGCCAGGCCCAATCTAAATCCATACATCACTAGGCTAGCCATATGCTTTGTTTCTGACCCTCCTTACTCTCTCCTAGGTCTGTCACAAAGCTTCAGCCACCCCTCAGCAGCCCCCAGACACAGACAAGAGAAAGGGTGAGCATCAGATATCGCTCTGGAGCCGGAAACTGAGTGGGCTGGAGCTGGGGGCCATGATGTGGAACTTCACTTGGGCCTTTTTCTCCATTACCCCTGCAGGCAGCCAGCCAAGTCTCCCTGGCCTCTCTCCACATCCCGTATGCCACCATCACCACCAACCACTTGTGCCCCACAGCTCTGGATATGGTCCTCCCACCCCAGGCGTTGTCCAGGTGTGAGCCGATCCCCACCCACACAGAACGCCAGCCTGCCCCCTGGGCACCTCTGCCAGCCTCTGCTCGCAGCAGTTTCATATCTGTTGAGAATGGACTCTATGTTCAGGCAGGAGAGAGGCCTTCCCACATCCGTTCCTACCTCAACCCTTTCCCTGACCCTCTGGGGCCCAGAACCATGGAGGGACATTTAGGAGTTCAATGAGAGAAGCCCCAAATCCACTCAACTCTCCTCCCCTCCCAGGCCTCTGGGCCCCCTTCCGTTGGTGTTTGCACATCTTATTAAGCCTCTAATAAGTGTTTCCACACATACCCATCCAGGGCCCACTTGCGGCGGATGTGGCCAGCGTGTGTGCTTGTGTGGGCACATGTGTGTATGAGAGATGACGAAACCCACCCCAAGTTGTTTCCTGTTTTCAAGTTCCTAGCCCTCCCGGGTGATGTCGATAACGAAGTCAACAAAAATGGTTTATGTGACTGGGGCCTTGGCTGGACCTTTTCTTCTTCGGAAGTTTCAGAGTTTAGAGGCAGTTTCAACCTCTGGGAGGCAGGAGCCAGTTTAGAATCACAGGGGGCAGGGCCGCAGTACAGGATATCTCTCCCTTGCCCCCACCCACCAGACAGGGGTTTCCTGGGGCTGGGGTGGCCATGTCAGGCAGGGAACTCCTGGTCCTGCAGACCTTGCTGAGGGATAACAGGTGAGATTAACAGGATTTGGGATCTGATGGCCCCAGGCAGGAGAGTCCATATTCAAATCCCACCATGTCCTAGGACAGCACAAGGGCTTCTGGGGCTTCAACCTGAGAAAAGACCCTGTGGTCTGACCTGGTGTCCCCACAGCAGGGCTCCCTGAGATGGCCTGGGGGTGGAGTCCTGATACCCCCATCCAGAGCTGACACTCAGAGGCAGGGGACCCACCTCATATCTTCCCACAGTGGCTTCCTTTTGCTCCTCTCCTGCTACTAGAGCACCAGGACTACTCCCCACTGGCCACTGGCAGACAGGTCCACTCAACACAGAGACAACACACGCTCCCCTGCCCACTAATCTCCCCATCCAGGAGGTGGCTCTCCTTCTGTAAACAGGCCTAGCAGCCTGGGCATCATCATACATTTGCCACATGGTGAGCGAGCTCTATAAGCTGAGAGGCTCCACAGGAAAGTGGCAGATTCCTGGGAGGTGGGAGAACAATGTAGTCCTGGAGCTAGACTCAGCCTGCACCCCCAACCAGGGTGAACACTAGAAAGGGGCCACTTGGACTCTTTCTTGGTCCTGAATGTGGGAAATCCCAGGTAGTACTAGCTGCCAAGTCAGAAACCACCCTCTCTGCTTTTGCCTGGCTCAGGGAGGGCCTGCTAGGAGGCTATGTCCAACCACAGAATTTTCTAGCAACCCAGCTTACTATTCCAGGCATGCTTGGAAGAGGCCTTCCCAGAACCTAGGCCCATCCAGCCATGCTCCACATTGCACTTGAGAGAGGGTGAACCAGACAAGGTGAGGGGGTGGTGAAGGGGTTATTGGGCCTGCCTCCCTCAGCCAGTGATCATCCTCCTCCACTGAGAAGCCCTCAGCACTGGTCTAGCCAGCTCAGTGGTCCCTGCAGGGCTGGGGATTTAAGGGAGAGGGGTATGGGTGCTGCTGAGGAGGGTGAGGGAGATGTTAGTAAGGGAGTGAGTAGCTCAGGGTCCATAGCCTTGGGATCATGTGGGAGCAGTGACGGTGGTTTGCAGGGCAGTGGGGCTTGCAGGGTCTCAGGTGGGGCTTTAGGGGATTTCTCTAGGAAGGGACTGTTCATGGGACAAGGAGAGCTCTGAGGGATCCCCGGCTCTCAGCCCAGCTCCCAGCCAGATCACTTGCCTATAATGGAGTTTGGGGAGAGGTCTTATGGCCTAAGCCTGTCTTCCACAAACAAGCTCAAGAGGCCACAGTGCAGCCTGATCTCAGTGGTATGTAGAACCAAAAACCTGGGGACCCAGGAAGTCTCCACAGCTGGCTTGCTCCCTGCCGTCTCTCAGCCTGCCAGATGGGTGCAATGCAATGAAACTACAAGCACACACTGCTTGGAGTGAGGGGGAGCTTTGCAAGGGAGCAAATGCTCCAGGTCTTTGGATGTAGTCTCATTTACTTGCAGATTGGTTCCTCCAGGTTACAAGTGGATTTATGTAAATTATTTCCTTGAGATGGCGTCTCTGCAAACCGTACAGCCTAGCTTTGTCTCTTGCTTTTTACAGGCAGAAAGAGACTTTGAAACTAAAAAATAACAAACACAGACATTCTTGAGTTGTAAGACCCATTAGTCCACCCATGCAAACCTTATCTTATTCACATGCAAATGAAGCACTCCATGCATCTGGACTGGCCAGATAGCTAGAATGCATTAACACAACGTTACAAATCGTCCATCTTCCAACTCCCCAACCCCACACTCCCCACTGTTCATCCCCAAGTGCCAGACCCAGCAGTGCTGAAGGGACCAGCTGAAAGAACCATGTTGTGGCACTACATTGTGGGGATATAGGTGGACACAGCTGGGAGATCAGCAGTTCAGGCTCCCTTCTCAGATCCAATCACCTTTGTACAACAAGTGGAAATTGAGGCCCAAGAGAGAAAAGACTTGCTCAAGGGGACAGAACTGTATCAGCCCAAGCACCTCCAGAGACAGGCATCCAGGATGTGCCCTCAACCATAATCTAAGACAAGGCTTGCTCTTTGAACTGACCTGGGTTTGAATCCCAGGGACTACTTCCTCCCTGGCTGTGGGACCCAACCGCTTACTTAACCTTTCCTGGGCTCACTTGGCTCATTTGGTACACAGTAAGGGTGACAAGGCCTGAAGGGAGTGAAGCTTGCACACAAAGGCCCAACCAAGCAACTTTGGCCAGAGTATCTCATTTAGTGCTTACAACAACCCCAAGGGGTAGGTATTTTCAATAAATCCATTTAAAAGATGTGAAGGCTGAGCCCAGGGTCACAGAGCTGGAAGGAGAAGGGGTGTGGGGTCACCCACCTGAGCCTGGACACATTCGCGTGGGGCTCAGCTCAGGCCTCCGCCTCACTGGGGTTGGGGGATGGGAGGAGAGGCCTAAGCGGCTGGCAGGGACTCTTGGAGTCCTGGAGGGCAGGGACAGAGGAGGCGTCCGTCCACACCCCCCACATATCCCCGCGCTCACCCCCCCCACCCCCCACCCCCCGGTCCGTAGCGTTGCGGAGGGGCTCATGGGCGGCTGCCCCTGAGGGCACCTGGGAGATCTTTCAGCCTAAGATACCAGCCCTACCAGAGAGAATAGGATCCTCGGAGCGTCCAGGAGGTTGCACAGAATTGTGACCTTCCCGTGACCACAACCCCCACACCCTCTGCAACCGGTCTCGCAGTTCTGCCTTGCCTTTGCCCAGCAGGACGCTGGGCAGACCCGTGACTGTCTCCACCCGAAGTCAGCTGCTCCTCCCCAACCCCCACACCGCTGCGGTCCAGCAGTGGGTTCCAGAACCCGTTCTCCCCTTCAGTGACTTCGGAGCCCTTCTTCCGTGGTCCGGCCCCAGCCAGTCTCGGGCTCCTCTCCACCCCTCAGCCTGCCACAGCCCTCCTCCTGACGCAGGTCCCAGCACCTGTCCCCAGGGCTTACTTCTGGCCCCTTCCCTTCGTCTCAGCTCCCTTTAGTGCCCAATCTCCCCATCTCCGCTCTGTTTGCACCCACCCTCCGTGTGGTCCCTGCTGCTCTTAGCCCTAAACCCTCTGCTGCCACCGCTCTGTCCAGAACCCCAGGTGGCTGGTTCAGGCGCTGGGAAGCTGCCTTCCCTGCCAGTAGGCCCTTCTGGTGACCTGCCTGGAAAAGCTCGGTGCCCAGATGGAGGGGTGGAGTCTGGGCGCTATGACCACCCCCCCGGGTGTGTGACCTCCCAGCAGCCTGTTTGCCAGGAGAGCCTCGTATACCCTTAGCGGGTGCTCTATAGACGGCTGGGCCACATTGTGACCTAGCCTTCCGTCCCTTCGGGGCTCCCACCCAGGTCGAGCTGAGGTGGCCAGGAGACTGCATGGGTCTGGGACCCGAGGAGAAGACATCAGACAGAGGGGTGTCTGAGGGCTCAGCCAACAAAATGAAGGGAGAAGACCCTAGCTAGAATAAGATGAGGGCTGAAAGGGACAGAATTGACTTAAGAGAACCTTCCGTTTTCTGGACCTCTCCCAAACCCCATGGAGGAGTAACTCCCCAGAAAGAAACCACAGACTGGTTCCAATCCCAGCACAGGAATACACAAATATACAGGATACTACCAGATTTGTTGGCCCCAGTCGTGGGCAGGGGAGGCTCTCCAACTTCAAACCTGATGATGCAGCCAGTGACATCTGGAATTCCCATAGCTGGGCCCTTAAACAGTTTGATTTCAGTATCTGTGAAATGGGTCGGTCAGCTCACCTGGAAAACTGGGCTGTTTGAAGAAAAGTAAATAAACAGATAAGCATTACAAATATTAAAAGTATGCCCTGGCCAGTTTGGCTCAGCGGTTAGAGCATTGGCCTGCGGTCCAGAGAGACCCGGGTTCAGTTCCCGCTAAGGGCACGTACCTCGGTTGCAGTTTGTCCCCGGCCCTGGTTGGGTTGTGCGGGTGGCAGCCACTCGATGTGTCCCTTTCACGTCAATGTTTCTCTCTCTCTCTCCCTCCCTCCCTCCCTCCCTCCCATTCTATCTGAACAAAAAATGAAAAATTAAAAAAAATGTTAAAAGTAAAATATCAGGCCCTGGCCGGTTTGGCTCAGCAGTTAGAGCGTCAGCCTGCGGTCCAGAGAGACCCAGGTCGGTTCCTGCTATGGGCACGTATCCACATATCTCGGTGGCAGTCTGTCCCCAGCTCTGGTTGGGTCGTGCGGGTGGCAGCCACTCGATGTGTACCTTTCACGTCGATGTTTCTCTCTCTCTTTCTCTCTCTCCTTCCCACTCTATTTGAACAAAATAATGAAAAAAAAAAAAAAAGTCCTCGGGTGAGGATAAAAAAAAAAAGTAAAAGAGATAAAAAATAAAAAAAAAGTAAAATATCAGGGTGCTCTGAGAAGGAATAATGGGACCTCTCCAAGTACACATTTAAAATAAAACCTGAAAGTAAGTGGGAGCTGTCTAGGCAAGGAGTGTGGGGAGACCATTCCAGGCAGAGAAATTGAACAAAGGACCTGACGCTGAAAAGAGTTCAGCATTGCCAGGACCTAAAGCAGCTCAGTGAGTTTGAAACAAGATGAGAGCAGCAGGCAAAGCCTCTGGAAGAGATCATAATTTTATTGTAAGGGCATAATTATAAAACCCTGGCTGAGTTTTTAAATGATCAGATTTACATTATTATTATTATTATTATTTTTTTAAAGACCAATCTGAGTAGAAAACACCTGTGTGGGAGAGGCAAGTGGAAAAGCAGAGGTAGGAACAATTGGGAAGATAACTGCAATCATCCAGGTGGGAGATGGTGATACCTGAGTTAAGAACGGTGGAATGTAGATGCAAAGAAGTCATTAATTCAAAATATGTTTTGGAGGCAGAGTTGTTCTTGGCTGCTGGGAAGGGGATCAAGATGGTCTCAAGGGTAATGCCCAGTTTTTCAGCTTGAGCAACTAGGTAGAAGAAATGCCATTCACTGACATGGAAGACTGATAGGAGCATATTCCAGGGAATGGGTGACAATAAGAAACAGCTTAAGTTGAGATGCCTGAGACACAGATGAGGTGGGGGCAGATCCACAGCTCCTCAGAGGCCTGGTCTTAGGAAGGGGCAAGATCTGTATGCAAAATATTGATGAGAGAAATAAAAAGTTTTACATAAATAGGGAGATATGTCATGTTTATAGATTGGAAGGCACGGTGTTATGAGGCCAATTCTCCCCAAATGTATCTACAGAATCAAAGCCTTCTTAATCAAAATTCTAGCAGGCTTCTATGTAGAAATTGACCAGCAGATTGTAAAACTTACACAGAAAAACAAAAGTACCTAGAAAAACCAAAACAATTTTGAAAAAGAACAGTTAGAGGACTCATACTATTGGATTTAAAACATATATAGGTAAAGAATTCCAAGGGTTTGGGGAGATGTAAGCCAAGAACTGTAGATGAAGACCAAATATATATGACAAATATATGTTGGTTGTCTGAATGACCAAATACATATATATATATATATATATATATATATATATATATTTTTTTTTTTTAAAGTTCTTTTTAAAAATATATTTTTTATTTTTCTATTACAGTTGACATACAATGTTATATTAGTTTTAGGTGAACAATATATTGATTAGACATTTATATAACTTACAAAGTGATCACCCCAGTAAGTCTTGTACCCATCTGACACCATACATAGTTGTTATATTATTGACTATATTCCCTATGCTATACCTTACATCTGACTATTTTTATAACTGGCAATTTTCACATCTTAATCCCTTCCCGTTTTTTACCCATCCTTCCAACCCCCTCCCATCTGGCAATCATAAAAATGTTCTCTGAATCTAAGAATGGAGTGTTTCTGTTTGTTCATTTATTTTGTGGTTTAGATTACCCATATAAGTAAAATCACATGGCATTTGTCCTCTCTCTGACCCATTTCACTTATCACAATACCCTCTAGGTTCATTCATGTCGTTGCAGATGGCGACATTTTATTCTTTTTTATGGCTGAGTAATATTGCATAGTATATATGTACCATCTCTTCTTTATCCATTCATTCATCAGTGGATACTTAGATTGTTTCCATATCTTGGTCATTGTAACAACGCTGCAACAAACATAGGGATGAGAGTCTTTTCAAATTAGTGTTTTGGGTTTCTTTGGATAAATACCCAAAAGTAGAATTTCTGGGTCCTTCTTTGTCTCTTGTTTTAGCCTTTGTTTTGAAGTCTATTTTGTCTAATATAAGTATTGCTACCACGACTATTTTTTTGTTTCCATTTGCATGAAAATTCTTTCCATCTCTTTACTTTCAGTCTGTGTGTATCTTTCAGTCTGAAGTGGGTGTCTCTTTTTAATTGTTATGAGTTTATTTCAGCCAAACTGAGGACATATGCCAGGGAGCAAGATCTCAAATGCTCTGAAGTGGGTCTTTTATAGGCAGCAT